CTTTTATCTTAGTAACTTTTGTCCACTTGCAAAGTTGCTTTTGACTTCATCTTCGACTTCATCAAATCAATGAGATCTTTGTCAATGTATTTCAATAAGATCTTCATCACTTTCAACATTAACTATTTTTTTGAATATTATGTTTTTAAATATGCTATTATAGAAAACCTTTCAGAATTCAAAATGTTAAATACTTTTAAATATTAACTAGTTTCTCTGAATTCAATAAGATCTTCATCACTTTCAACATTAACTAGTTTCTCTGATTTAAATAATTAAAATAAATAGTTAAAAATAAAAATCAAAACTAGTATTATCTTCAATTTATTAAAAGTGTAATTAAATCTCTATTTTCTTAATTTTTTTTGTTTCAAACTTCTCAATTCTACATTTTTGTAACTTCTATCATTATATAATATCAGCCTCATCTCCTCCCATGTTCAACTTTATGTTTACAATAGTTAATATTCTTAAATAATGTATATTTTTAATTATAATTTTTGAATATATATTTAGAAATTAATCAATTCTAATATATTATGTGAAAAACTAATCAATAATTTAGAAAACTAATCGATTATCATTAATTCTTTGAAAAAATTATCAAATATGATCGATCATTTTGAAATTCTGATCGATCAGAGAGTCAAAATATTGTTATATGTGATAGCGGTTCCACTGGAACCGCTATTACAAACTACTTCTAATAGCGGTTAAACCTTAACCGCTATCTAATATACACTTTAGATAGCGGTTAAGGTGGAACCGCTATTATATCCACTGAATTATGATCGATCATTTCGAATTATGATCGTTCATAATTAAAACTTATTATGTTCGCTCAAGCGATATTATGTTCGCTTGAGCGAATGTTGACCTGTGTCAATGTAACATGGGTGATTCATGTTTGAATCGGATTTCGCTCGAGCGAGAGTCGTTTCGCTCAAGCGAAATACAACCCGAGAATGCCACTTCTGTGCAGGTGGTGTCGCTCGAGCGTTGCTTTTTTCGCTTGAGCGATTTTGCAAAAATCAGCTGTAAGCATTGATTATTTTCTCATTAGCGACCGATTTTAATTCGGTCGCTATTTCAATTTGTAATTCGGTCGCTAAATCAGTCGCTAAATGAATCTTTTATTTATGTATGAAATAGCCACCGATTTAGCGACCGAAAATTTGCGACGCACAAAAATTGGTTGCTATTTCGGTCGCTAAATATAAAATGAAAACCAAATCATACTTTGGTCGCTAAATCGGTCGCTAATTGCGACCGAATTAAGGTGGTCGCTAAATCGGTCTCTAAATGTGACTAAAATTAAATCGGTCGCTAAATCGGTCGCTAATTGCGACCGAAAAAATTCGGTCGCTAATTTCGGTGGCTAAATCCGTTTTTTCTTGTAGTGTAATTTGAAATTAGATGCAATGGAAACACATGATGTAATTTTTCACCTTTAATTGTTTTCAAGTTAGATGTAACTTTTCTCCCTAATTATTTTCAAGTTAGTTGTAATTTATTTTCCCCTAATTATTTTCAAATTAGGTGGAAGCGATAATTTTTTTTCTCTAAATATTCCAAATATTTGATTATATGTCTATTCATGCTATTTTTCTTCATATATTTTATAAATAATTTTTATTATTATATAATATCTTTTCAAATAATATTTATATTAGATTGAATTTATTATTTTGTTATGATAAATTTATTTTAAACTTATTATATTATTATATTATTAAAATATATTATTTTATTAAATTTGATTGAACTCCAAATTAATTTTCAGTTGAATGAATATTCAACTCAACTCTAAATTCATATGTTGATCGATTTATGACCTATCGATCCAATTTTAAAATATTTTGTTTAAGTAACTTTATGATAAATGTAATAATTGGACCAGATTTGATAATAGTGTTTCAAATACCCATGATTCATTCCTCATAAAAGATTATTGAACCAATTTATTTATTTATTTCAGCTGAGAATGTGAGGAATTTCGGGAAGTATAAAGTTCCAACGCATCTTTAATCAAATTCATACAAAAACTCTATTTATTGCTACTCGTCATCACGTTGACCACTGGACCATAATAATGTCGACAACCAAGTCTTACTGCACATTTTCCCCAAAATATGACTCCTAATATCTTATTGTACATGAAAATGTTTAAGAATAAAAATATTATTATATTTTAAATTAGTTAAAATTATAAATAATTTTAAGTAATATTTTTGTAATTTTATATAATTTATATTGGATTTATAATAAAATAATAGATTTTATTTTTAAGTCATTTTTACTAATAGCTTTCTTTATATATACTCTTATATACATGCCATGTTCTAAACAAAGAACATTTTTTAATTATTGAATGTACGAGGATTAAAACTTAAATTAATAATATAGTAATTTATTATCTTTGAGTTTGTATAATTTACGTCGATTATATTTTCATCAAAACTTTAAATAAAGGTTTAAGTTTATGCAAACTTTAAAATTTCATTATTATTATTTATTGTTAGTAATGCCGTTTAGTTCAGTTTTGCACTAAAAACTAAATTGAATTACACATAAATTTTAAATAGAATTTATTTTGTTTTGTTTTTTACTTAAAAAAATTTCAAACTATACTAAATTTATATTTTATAGCTTGGTCTCAACGATTTTTAAATTTTTTATCATAAGTTTATCAAATATATTATAACAAAATAATTATTTAATATAGAAATATATTATAAAAAATATGCATAATTAATTTTTATGTTCATAATTTTAACTCGCTTTTATACCATTCCATATTTAATTAAAAATTAATAATATATAGCTAATTTACATAGACTATCATCTTATATTTTTATTTTAATAATATATATTTTAATTATGATTTGATTCCATTTGAGTGTGAGAAGAGAAGTTTTATATTAGACAAATTTTACTTTGGTGTTTATTTTTTTTACTATAAAATATGCACAGTATTTATCTTGTAAATAACCTCAAATTCACTTATTTTTCTTTCTCGTACTTTAGTGTTTGAGAGATAAATTAAAATAGGAAAAATAATTTCTCTTAGAGTTGATTTTCTTTGATGCTCAAGAGAGGATATTATTGTTTCCTCATTATATGTAGAGAATGATTCTAATTTTTTTTTAAATTACTTTTTGGTCTATTGGCAATATTTTTCTTATCTTTTTATTTTAGTTATATGAGTTTATATTTTTATATGATACCTAGCAATGAGTTGACTCTAACTATCAAATTTTAAATTTTTTTAAGCCAATTAATCTAAAAAAAATGGTTTTTAACAATTGTTCGTTTTTTGGATCAATTTTATTTTTAGATTAGTTCGGTTTGAACACATAATATCTTTTGTGTTGTTAATTTATTTGAACATCTGTTTTAAGATTACTTTAATCTAAGTTTTATTTTCTCTTTAAAAAATATTAGTATATATTCCCAAAATAAGATTAATGTTTAAGAAATAGATGTTTGATAGTTTCTCCTCGAAATCTAGTTTCATCGAGAATATTATAAGTAAGTAGTTAAATTACATAAAAGTTTAACCTATTTTAATTGTAATCCAAAAGACATAGGCATTTCAATTTCTTGATTCATCTAAATAAATTCATTATCTAACATTTATGCAGTTTTGTCTATATTTTATATAATAACATATTAAAAGTACACTACACTTATGTACATTTTATGTTGGTGATAACAAGGTTATTAATATAAATGTTAACCTAATTAATAAGCTTAAACAATGGATTTTTATATAATATGTTGTTTAATAATTAATTCATCAAATATTAAATCATATTTTTAGTTAACAATTTCAAACTTGCTTTCTACAAAAAAAAAAAAAATCCTTTAATCACATTTGTTTTAAGCTTAAATAAATTTTATAAAAAATATTTTTACCAAAAACAGGATATGTATAAGTTAAGATATAACGTACGTTGGATTAGAGAAAAATGTTTTTTAATAAAATAATCACTTATTAAATATTTGAATAATATTATTTTAAAGAAAAAGAAAACAAATAGTTTTTAAAAGTAACTTAGAGTTACTTACTATTGTATAATTCTTTTAAAGCACAGAAACATATCAATGAATAATAATAAAAAAAATAAACGACTAATTTTTTTAATTAATTTTTTATTTTCCATAAATACATTACTTACAATTCTTGGGTGATTAATAATATGTACGTAAAAACTGATAAATACGGTATTCAAAAGTCATTTACGATAAATGTGGAATAAAAAATTAATATTTTATTAAAAATTGAAACATTTATCATATAATTCAAAAAGTTAAAAGATAATGTTTATTGAATTTTCTTCATCACTTAAACTAATAGGGATCATTTTGGATAATATATTGTATAAAATAATTTAGTGTTTCTAATTAAAATGACTACTTTTAATCCATCATTAATTAATATTTAATGACAGAATTTTATAATTATCAACGGATTTTATAATTTTATAATATAATTCAAGAATTCTCAGCTAGACAGTGGTATCTGTTAATTAATATTACTAAAACTTAAGTTTAGATATAAAAAATAATTAAATAAAATATTTATAAAAATTAGAAAAATAAATTAATGAAATTTAAAAAATTAAAACTAGTTTGAAAAAACAAAAACATGAAATATATATATATATATATATATATGTATATATATATATATATATATATATATATATATATATATATATATTTGTTTTAAAAGAACCTCTAATTCTCATGAATCAACTAATCAATTGAAGGACTAATTATTTATCTTTTATAAATACGATAAAATTATTACTTTTTGACTAATTTTCTATTTATAAACCTCAAATAATTATATAAATATCATTTTTATTTTTTTCTATCAGAAAAGAATAAACTAGATAATTTTTAAAACTCATAAAAAGTAATAAAATAAGGTTGAGTTGCTATTATTAACCCCGCAGAGGCATTATTCCTTTATATCATTCAAGAGTTTCATCCTACAAAGGCCTATTAAAAGCCCTACAATTGCTTCTTACTTCACCTTCATTCTCATCCAAAACACCAATGCTTCCCATCTTTATCATGGCATTCGCAAATTTCTCTTGAAATAAACTATCATCTGTTGCCAAATTCTGCACCATGTCCATTGACAATGGGTCTAAAGCCAATTGCTGGTCAATGTGAAGCACCCCTCTCTTCAGAATCATTTGGTTGTAAAATTCATTGTCAAATGTAAAGGATGTGTTTTGGTCCAAAAACACAAGAGGGTCACTATTTGGTGCCCTTCTTAACTCACAAATTTGCTCCAATCTTGCCTCCAACGTAGGGTCCATTGAAGGATTAACTCCTCCTTGAATAGCTGAAAGCCTATTTTGAAACATACTGCAATGAGCAAAACCAACGGTGTGTCCTCCCAAAAGGGTCACCATGTCCTCCAGTGTCAACCCTTTTGCAGTGAAAAATTGAAGAGCACCTGACACAGAGAGTGATGGTGATGGAAGCTTGACTAGTTCAGGATCAGACAACAGACCATCTTTTCTTCCGGTGGGGATTCTGTACCTGATCCCTCCTGCCATTTCCACTGCATCTCTTGTGGCTAGTGCTATGATATCAGCACATGAAACTCTTAAAGGACACTCTTGTTCCAACACTGCTTTTGCATCATCAATGATCTCAAATCCACGAGCTGTTCGGTTCGGTCCTGCATTCTTCTCTGATGTTCTGTTCCTAGTTGGATCTATTAGTATAGAGGCATCACAACCCTAAAACCGAAACGTTAAAAATTACACACTATTATTTTGCCTGAAATCCTAAACATTGGTTTCTATAATCTAGGTTTTAAAAAAAGAAGGCCATTGTGACTGTAACTGTAGTTATCAGTCCCAATTTCACAGTCTGGATATATGATTTCAGGTGAAGTCAAGCGTGAGAATCAATCAATAATCTCTCAGTAGTTTATAAGTGAGAAAGATTCATAAGGTAATGTCTATTAAACACAGAGAAATTAACCTAATTCATGATTTCTTCTATGTGTGAATGAGAACTAACATGGTGCAATGAGAAGAGTTTGGTCTTACTCTAACAAAGCAATCATGAAAGTGCAAGCGAAGGAGGCCTCCGACAATGGAATTATCCTGGTTGAAATGTCTTTGCACAACTTCACGTACAATTGTCTCTGCTCCTGGACAAGTTGAGGTGTAGAAGCCAACGCGTAGCTCAGCGAAAGTGAACGGAAGGACAAAGATGAAGAAGACTAGGATGTTGGTGATCGTCATTTAAGGTACTGCACTGGTTTCACTCTCTTGCGCAAATGCTTTTTATATATCAATAACTTCGTTCTGGGGATAAGTTTTAGTGAAGATTTTAAGATTTCTTTCTTTACCTTTTTTTTTTTTATCTAGAAAATATGTTTGGAATATTTAAGGAGGTGATGCACACGACTTCGCTATTTCTTGTCTGGATGCTGGAAGGGTAACGGTTGCGTAAACAATTTTCATTTTCCATGTAAGAACAATATTTAATATACTATAACAATGACAACTGTCTTCATTAAATTATGGCATTAAACAGGCCGTAAAAAATGTCAATGATTCTAAAAACAATGTTATGGTGGTATATCTACGCATCTATCAACGTATATTGGAAAAATATGATGTTTTTAATAAATTATGTCTTCAAAAGTATTGCTGTATACCGTAATCACAACTGTGTCGCCATCTAAACCTGTATTTATACACCCAAGAATAAAGTAAAACAAGAAAAAAATGGAAGGATTGAATTAAAACCCACTTTAAAGATATATCCAAAGATATGTAAATCAACTTTGGCTCTAAAAAAATATTATATTGGTGTAATATAATTGATTAAAAAATTTTATTTTTTTCTCAGCTATTTAATCGATTATTAACTATATTGGTAAAATATATGTTTTTCTAGCTTCAGGTGTAAGTCACATTTGTCTCTTAAAAGTGGTGAGAATGTGTTTTTCTAGCCATTCCAGTTGTGAATGCATCATATTCTTCATAGTCTTATTAATGTTATTGAGTAGTGTTCTATAATTATCAGTGAACCATTCTCCTTAATTCTTATTTTATTTTCGATTTCGTTTCCAGAAATAATAAACTTGATATATATATATATATATATATATATATATATATATATATATATATATATATATATCTTGTAATTTCTTGAATTTCTTCTGTCATGGCCTTCCTCCATTTGGGAAAATTGACAGCGTCTGTAAGAGCATGGTTCTTTATTGGTGGACACAACAAGAACATATTTCAAGTGCGAAGAAGAAAGTTTACTGTAACTAAGACAAGAAGATATAGGATAGAAAACATCTTTGCTATTATTGCTTGTATGAGAGCTAAGTTGACAATGATAATCTTGTAAAAAACTAAGTGCTCTTATACTTCGATTAGAGCGTCTCAAAGGATTAATAATGTTTTCAATTTGAGATTCACACTACTACAAAATATGCTTTCAACGTCGTTATTTAACGTCGGTTAAAGCTGAGCCGACGTTAAATGCACTTTCAACGTCGGTTGATTAAAAACGACGTTGAAAGTTGACATTCAACATCGGTTCGGATGAACCGACGTTGAATGTCAACTTTCAACGCTCTGCTCATCTGGAACCGATGTTGAATGTGTTTTCACCAAAAATTCTTTTAAGTTAGAGAATTGTCATCGGCAGGATTCGAACCCGAGTACTTTAAAGTTGAAAGTTGATACTCCAACCACTAAACTATCGTAATTTTCCGATAATAACTTACAAATTAATTATATTTATATACAAATAAATATATATTCCGTATAAATATATATTTATTTATATTTTCTCGGAAAGTGTTTTTATTTTTTTTCAGCCAAAAATTCACTTAAGTTAGAGAATTGTCACCGACAGGATTCGAACCTAGTATTTTAGAATTGAAAGCTAATACTCCAACCACTAAACTACCGTAATTTTCCGATAATAACTTACGGATAAATTATATTTATATACAAATAAATATATATATGTGTAAATATATATTTATTTATATATATTTTCTGGAAAGTGTTTTTATTTTTTTTAGTAAAAAATTCACTTAAGTTAGAGAATTGTCACTAATAGGATTCGAATATAGTATTTTAGAGTTGAAAATTAATACTCCAACCACTAAACTACTATAATATTTTGATAATAATTTACAAATAAATTATATTTATATACAAATAAATATATATATCCGTGTAAATATATAAATATAAATATATTTATATATTTTTATGTTGGATGTGAGGGCGCGATCGAGGGTGAAAGTGAGATTGACTCTCGTTTGAGTGAAAATACGTTAAAGCTCACGAAATTCACTCGTTCAAGCCTAGCTTGAGCGAAAATTGGTATTTTTCGCTTGAGCGAATGTGTCACTTGAGCGAATGATGCGTTTTTCAAATTTATTTTATATCATTATATAAATAAATTATAAATATTATATTACGTCATTAAATTACAAACCCATATATAGAGACTCGCTCACAAATTTGGCATTAAATTTTGAAAACCCACTTGACACACACTTTCACCTTCGAGCGTGCCCTCACATCCAATATATAAATATATAATTATATAAATATATCAAAATATATAAATATATTTGTATTTATATATTTACACGGATATATATTTATTTGTATATAAATATAATTTATTTGTAACTTACTATCAAAAAATTCGAGTAGTTTAGTGGTTGGAGTATCGACCTCCAACACTAAGGTACTGGGTTCGAATCCTGTCAGTGACAAAATAATAATTTGGTAATGCTTTAAACTTAAAAAAAATATGATAAATAATAAAAATATAATATAAAAGAGAGAGGGACCTAATAAAAATATAATATAAAAGAGAGGGGGGATTTCTAGATAAATAGAGGGGTTGGAAAGGTTGGAAATAAATAAAAAAATTTAATTTGAAAAATTAGACTTTCAACATCGTAATTGACAGGTTCTAATAATTAATTAAAATCTGATATCTAACAAGTATTATTTGGTTGCAAAATAGGATCAATATGATTGACATAAGGAAAAACTTTTTCATAGAACCCAACATCTCTGGAAACAAAAATTTCCCTACTTTTAATGTCTAACATAACATAGCCTTTAGTTCCCCTTTGGTAACCTAAGAACACACATTTCTTGGCTCTTGTGTCAAATTTAGACCTATTTCTTTGCAGGCTAGAGGCAAAACACAAGGATCCAAAAACCTTAACTTCATTTAAATTTGAAGTGGTCTCATACACTAACTCATAATGAGTTTTTTCCTTCCAAATTTTAATAGGTAAACGGTTTATTAAGAAAATAGCTTGCAGAACAGCATAAGACCAGAAAACCATGGGAATATTAGATTAAAAGATGAGACTCCTACTAAATTCTAGAATATGTCTATGTTTTCTTTCAACAATAGAATTTTGTTGGTGAGTTTCTATGCAACTGGTTTGATGTATTATACCAAAATTATCATACAGTCTCTACACATAAACTCAATTCCATTATCAGAACGTATGATTTTAATTTTCTTGTGAAATTGGGTATTAACCATGAGCACAAACTTTGATAAGGCTTCTCTAGTTTCAGCCTTTGTTTTCATCAAAAACACCCAACAAAACCTGTTGTGGTCATCTACTATAGTCAGAAAGAACTTGTGTCCATGTATAGAGGTGGTGCCATAGGGACCCCAAATGTCAACATGTATCAAATAAAAAACATGCTCAGAATACGAGCTACTAGTACTAAAGGAAAGTCTAGTTTGCTTTGAAAAATGACATATATCACACGGTTTGGTCTAACTAAAAACAATGTAAAGAAAATGTTTACTGATAAGATGTAGAACTTTATCTGAGGGATGTCCCAGCCTCTTGTGCCAAATTCCCCCATCTTGATTCTTTGAGTTATCATTACGTGTTTTAGTGATGCTGGAAAAGGAATTGACAGTCTTCTTTGCGGTTGACAGTTGCAGTAGGTAGAATCCTTCTTGAAGCTTAGCTTCTCCAATCATCTTCAAGGAATGGGCATCTTGGATCTGACACAACTTAGAGGAAAAAATCAGTTTCCAGTTATGGGATCTAACAATCCTTTGCACAAAATAAGATTGAAAGCAAACTCGAGTACAAGAAACACATTATGCAAGAAAAAATTATCAAACAGTTGTACAGTGCCATCATAGTGTGCAAATATATGTGATCCATTTGGCAGTTTAATGCATGTTAGTCTTATTTTTCTAAAAATCACAAAATTAGAAACATCAAAGGTAACATGGTTTGTTGCTCCTGTATCTAGAATCCATGTAATGTTTTTGTTCTTACCATTAGGAACCTTCTCACCAGTAGAATCAGACACTAGATTGTTAACTTTGTGTGAAGCGTCACCTTTGGCTTCTTGAATCATTTTTATGATTTGATGCATATCTGAGAAGAGACTACCTTCCTTGCTCAACCACTGATCTTGTTGTTTAATCACAGTTTCATCCTTCTCAGCAATAGTGTTGTTAACCACCTTTTCACCTTAGGTCTTGTACCAAGGGGGATAGTCGTGCTTTGCATAACACTCATCTATTGTGTGGTATAGCTTGTGGCAATAGCTACACTGTTTGCCATTATTCTGATTCCTGTTTTTGCCTCGCCCTTGTCCCTTCCAATTATCATGATTCTTTGAGTTTCTTTGATCCTTAGTGCTCACTGTAGTCATCTAGATCTTACTGCCTTCTATGGTGTTCCCATTTATATGACATTCTTGCTACATAACTAGAGAGAAGACACGATTTATACCTGGCAACGGTTCCATTAGTAGAATTTGCATCTTCACAGTTCCATAAACGTCATTGAGACCTTTCAGAAAACACATGATATACTTAGAATCTTTGTGTTTGATAACAGTTTTGATGAAGTCACAGTCACACTTCACTTTGTAGGTGCAGCTCGATGTTGGTCTGAGAGATTCAAGTTCCTCCAACAACGCCTTTAGATCCGTGAAAAAACATGTGACAGATTTTTCTCCCTGTTTGGTTGAATGGAGTTCTTGAAGAAGATCAGAGATCCAGAAGTGATCTACCATGAAAAACGCTCGTGCAGGTCGTCCCTTTCGCATTTTCAATGTATACGACGCTTTGGGCGATCTAAGCATTCATGGCACGCGTCAGCCACGATATCACCATCATGTTGCATCTTTCCCAGGCATCGTGGAGGGTGGTTCGATGTTCTAGCGTTTTGACATTGTCGTCAAGAAACTTG